AAAAAAAAAAAAAATTAAAAAAAAAAAATCACACCAGCGTCTTGGCTAACAAGCACAGGGCTTTTGCTCACATGAGATGGTTGTCGTATTCAAAGGTGTTTTGTCAAGTGGCTGACACCAGCTGATGTCTAGGGGAGTGATCACATGAGAGCTCCCGAGATAAAGTAGGACACATAACACGAACACCACGTGGCATTAAGACCATGTTATCAGATGGAAAAGGCACCAGTTGTAGAGGAAGGTATTAAAGAGAAAGCAAACACAGATCACAAACACTGCAGCTAGGGCAGCTGTCTTAGTCAGCAACGAGACCCTGAACTTTATAAATGAGCAGGGGAATGTAGGGTTGTAGGAAACAGGAAAAAACCCATAGGGGAGCAGCCGCACCAGGTGACTCTGTCCAGACACTCCAAAGGCAGAGAGATGCTCCACTCCATCTGAGGAAGCAGTGCAACAAGGGTTGGTGAAGTGTGGCTACTGCCAACATGGAAAGAAATGGCACCATTTTTGCCACAGAAAACTGAAGTGAGGGAGATCTGATGACCATATGCTCAGTGCGCTACACTCAACTTAGGTTCTACCCCAGCCTTCATCTCGCCCCTACACTTATAGGCGAGCAGTGCAAAGTCAGCACAGTTGCCTTCAGCAGGGGGCCTCTGGCTGCCTGGCACCTCCGATTCTGTCTCTCTTGGAGGGCTAAAGGAAACCAATACATACTAGATGAGAGTACGAAGAACGGTGGGCAGAAAGCAACATAGTCTAGCAGTCAGAGCAGGGGAAATTGGATCAGAAGTAATGAATTGTCTTGTTCCATCACAGATTCTTGGCCTTGGGCAGTTCTAGCCTCTCTGTGCTTCTCCCTCCCTAGCTGCAAAACTGAAGCATTCTTCTTGTTTCTAATCTTCTAATGAAGAGCATCATAAATGCAGTGCAAGTCATGTGTTATCACCTGTGGAGTTCTAGCCTGTGGATTCACCACACAGGATGCAATCCTCAATAATCCCCACAGCAGTGCAAAAAAGTAGTGGGACAAGTGCGGGCTGCTCCCAATTATAGCTGCAACCTTTATAGCAAGTGGTGCATGCTAATAATCACAGGAAACAAGATCCTCTCTATGCTTTCTCCTTGGCTTTGTCAGATGAAGAAACCATAAACAACTTGAATCCCATGGTCTGTGGTACAGAAGCATCATTTCAGTGTGCTTTTCCCTTTTCCCATATCTCAAGCACTGTTTTTTCAGCCAGATTTAACCCATCCCCCTAGCTACAAACTCTTCTCCTCTTATAATCAGCTGTGTCTTTGGGTTCTTTAGGGACTGGCCTGAATATAGCTGGGAGAAGAAGAACTGCCATTCTTTGCCGACCGAACTTTGTTCAGCCAAAAATTGACAACAGCAAAGTATGTTGCTTACAGAAGAAAAGGAAACATAATCAGACAAGTTTAGCCACATGCGTTGCCCTGTCTTCATCAGGCTGCAGAAGCCCCAGGCTCTTACCATTGTCCTTCCCCTTGACGAAGGCTTCCCACTCCCGGAACCATTGCATGCTGATGCAGTAGATGACACTAGGAGACTCCTCTGCCTGGAATGCCTTGTTCAGCTGGGGAGAAGGAGCAGGGACAGAGGAATTAATCATTGTTGAGGCTTGTGGGGGCACTTTTCAATTAGTAGGAAAACCCCGCTGGTCTCCAGGATGCCCCCACCTGCCTTCACAACGTGTTTTAAACGAGCAGAAGGCCTAGGATTGCTGTCCAGCTTCAGGCCCCTACGCAACTACACAGAATGTTATGTTCTGACCCAAATGCTCCACGTACTGTTAGCACAGGGGAACTTTGACATGAATCTCCATGCCACAGTGCAGATACCGTTCTGGGGACTAGGAGGTGACAGTATCATTTCTTCTATTGTGAAGTGGCATAAAAAAATCTTAACGGGGAACAGGTCTAGCCAACCCTTGGCCGCTGCCTCTAGCTCTGTTCCGCACACACCTTAATGAAGGTATCAATCTCAATCCTCCTGCGTTTGGCCAGAGCTTCAATCTCCACCTGGCATATGGAGCAGACATACAGATGATTGACAGCAGGACCACCCCCAAACCTGAGCACAGGATGAGAAAGAAAGAGGCACTGTCACCATGGAGGAGCTTACTGGCCTTGAACCCTACAAACCAATGCTAGATGAGACTGGGTCAGATACTGTCACTGAAATGGAAGTGGCTGTAGCTGGCTATTTTAATCGTAAATCTGCCCTCTGTCTAACATGGTGGGGATCAGAAGAACATTCCCTCATTTGCCTTCTAGATTATGAGGGTCTTACATTACATACTGTAGAACAAAGGGCAATCATATCTCAGGATTTGTGATGCAAGTGGATCACCATGGATATTAATGAGAGTCTGACTACTGTTGACCCAGTATTGCACAACTGTTTAGGTGAATTAGAGGAAGGCATCACATCTTGGCCAATGACAGGAGCAGGAGATCCCAGACTTAGATTCGAGATGACTATGAAAATGTCAAACAGAACAAAACTTGGACCAGGCCAAAGCACTGTGGGGTGAGGAGAGAAGCAGCCTTCCTCACCTGTTATAGAGATACTCCCACACGTTCTGGGGCAGAATCACAACCAGGTCATCAATGTAATGATATTTATTGGGAGGGATGCCTGCAAATTATGGGGAGAGGAAGAGTTAATCAGATCCTGCACAACAAACAACAGATCAGGAGAAGCAACAATTGCCATTACTCATATTGCCACTAGTAAGAGAGAGAAGACAAGGAAGAGGAGGCGGTAGGTCTTCCTGGGTAGGGGACTCAGCTCCAGAATCCACACCTCTGTTGCCCAAAGTGAATTGGGCTTTTACAGATTTCTTCACTCCAGGGAAGATGTATAAATGCATCTGAATGTTCCCACAAGAACAGAGACTTTGCCAGCCTATGCGAGATACTATAAAACATATCGCTCTGGGCCTCAGATCAGCAGCACAACAGTCCAATGGTCGTGCCTCCAGGTGCACGGGAGTCTCTGCCAATGAAGTGGATTCTGCTGCCATATACCTTCTGTTAGCAATACTAGTGGGGCTTTTCATTTGGGTGCATCAGCCAGCAAAAGGGGCAGCTAGAAACTTCCTGTTGAGCAGCAGCTGTGGCTCCCAATGCAGACAGCCTAGCAATAACTTCAAATGCATTAGCCCTCTTCCTCCTTACCTCCGTGAGAGCACAGGAACGTGTGGTTGGTGATGGGACCGGGCTCTGCAAATGTGTTGAATTTATTGAGCCACTCTCGAGAGATGTAGAACTGGAGCAGGCTGGGTTCCTTCATGTTGGCGAGGGATACCACCTTCTGGCGCTCCCGCACAGCCTCTTCACTGCTCTTCCTAAAGGAAGAAAAGGCAAGGGGAGAAAATGAAGCAATCCTCAACAGTCCTCCAGACCTGTCCTAGGATGCCACAGCCAAAGTGGGCTGCTCCAGCCCAAACACCCACCTGTAGAAGAGGACATAGGCCTCTGCATTCTGCACCACTGTCTCATGAACTTCAGTGACATACTGGTCATCGAATTCATACCACTGGCCATTGATCACATTCTGGCAGTATGCTATGTAGTGTCCACCTGTAACAGAGGGAACGTATCTGGGGTTCAAAGTAAATAGAGAGGAACCTGGCCTTCAACACCAACAAGTGTGAGGATTAACCCTGAGCTGCTGCCATGCGTTTACCAGGCCAGTCCTGTCCAGAAGGATAGGTTCCAGCTTTACATCAGTTTATGAAGAGGGTTGCAGGTGTGGTGCTTGTTACCCTGTTAAGGATATGTCCTCCTTGGGAAGAGCCTACTGTACTCTGTGGGTTCAGTGGAAAGAATGCCAGGGGCCTCACTGGGAAATAAGTCTGAGCCAGGCTAGTGGTGCGGTTGGAAAAGGGGATCAGAGGATGCTAAGCAATCTACCAGTCAAGCCTGAAACAGAGGCAGAGGCTGAGGATTGCCTGGGTGTGGAAGAGTGGGTCTTTCATTGCAGATCACCACACACATCCAAGGGGGGTTCTAGTTTGGCCCCAGAAAGAGCTACTGCATAGGCAGCAGGAAAGGAAGGGGGGGTGCAAAGAGAAGAACCAGAGTTTGGATATGAAACCTGAACAGGGATAAAACAAGAATCCTAAAATACACAGAACTCCCTTTAGAAGTATGCAGACCAGCAATTATCGGAACCACCACAAAACACGAGGAGGGCAGGTTGCCTGTGGTGTCTGGAGAGCAGGGCTGTGAGAAAAACGAATGCCCTCCAACTGACCAAGGGCCGAATGTGGCCCATTCCCTTGGGCTCAGCGCTCCAGGCTCAGACCTATCTTGTTCCCAGTCAGTTCAGGCATAAATGCACAGGAGACAAGCACTTACTGCCGGCTGTGCCATGATGGCAGATAACTGACAGGAGGTCGTAGGTGGTGATCTGGGAGATGCACTCCTTGGCCAGGAAGGGTCGAAGGTCCAGCCCTTCCAATGGGAAGGAGACATGACTGTTGATTTTAAAGGAATACATGACCTCGTGCCGGAATCGTTTCAAGTGGATGCACAGGATCTAAAGGACAGGAGGGGGAAGAGACAGAAGCACAGCATCTCTGTGAGTGTCCACGTCGGATACAGTTCTCACATACTTAACCCCCATCTCTATGTTCCCTGATAGTGTGGTCTCAATCCCTGTATATATCAGATGGAAAGAGGTGGTTACAGTCTGGACTCACCAGGCCTTTTCTGGTGTGTTTGTATGTCTTCCGTTATGGGCCAAAAACAAAGTTTCCAGTTCCAGCTTTAAAAACGATGGCAGCCAGTGAAGACCAGGGAAACAAGTGACTTCTACTCACCTCAGGCAGCCGGAGAACTTTGCAGTACTTCACTCCGTTCCGCAGCCTGAAGAAAAAGGACACAATTCATGCATGAGACGGCTGGAGGGAAAAGGAGCGGGGCCCCTATCCTAAGCAGGACAACTGTAGGTCATACCATAGGCAAAACTGGAAGAGGCATCAATAGGAGCTGGCTCAAGTTCTCTGTACCAGCTTCCCCCATGAATGAGAGCGTGAGTTACAAGAGAAACCATTGCTACAAGATAGACCACTTCCTTTTTACTGTGCTTCTGCTTATCCACTAGGTCCCTCCCCATTCCTTACCCCTTCCTTTACCTCTTACCACAGCCACCACTTTTCCTCCCACAAAGTCTGGGGCTGACTGGGAACTGTTCCAGTCAGA